TGAATGTATCATGACTGTGAAATCTCTTCTTTGTGTGTATTTCCGTGTAGCTTGTATTGGAAGTTTTTCAGCTTTGAAAACATCTTGCTTTACTTCATATCTGTCAGTAAGCTAGTGAGGAGCATGGTCTCCATTATAAGGCGTTTTTACATCTCAAGAAAGCAGACAATGCTTTCTGTCCTGAGGGGAGGTTTCCACAGCAATTACTCCAGAAGCAGCGTGGAGCTTCACTTTAATTAGCTTTATTTTACACAACTTCTCTGTGCTGGAAGCCTGGAGGATAAAGCAGAGAAACTTGAAACAGTTTCATCAATATACTGTCGTCTGGCGGTGGGTTGATAAATTAGGACAGTCGTGATGAACGTTATGAGTGTGTGGTTTATCACCGGAAAATGAGTAATTAATAAAAAAAATTGACATGACACTTATACTCTCCAGGACTGCATTTATTTGATCAAAAGTACAGTAAAAATGGTAAAACATTATTATTTGAATATAATTTAAAATGCAATTTATTTCTGTGATCAAAGCTGTATTTTCAGCATCATTACTCCAGTCTTCAGTGTCACATGATCTTCAGAAATCATTCTAATATGCTGATTTGTTGCTCGAGAAACATTTCTGTCGTGCTGCACAATATTTTTGTGGAAACCGTGAGACATTTTATTTTTCAGGATTCACAGATGAATAGAAAGTTCAAAAGAATAGCATTTATTTGAAATAGAAATCTTTCGTAACATTAAAAATGTCTTTACTGTCACTTTTTGATTTATTTAATGCATCCTTGCTGAATAAAAGTATCATTTTAAATCAAAAAATGAAATCTTACCAAACCCAAACTTTTGAACAGCAGTGTATGTTGTCATGTTCAGCATTCAGTGTGGAATTATTAGGTTTTATGCTGCATTTCATTTAACTTGGTCAGTCGTGCAATGCAATGCAATGCAAATTAACTATTAAAATAAAATGCTCCAATGAGTTAAAGTTGCATGATGATTAAATATGTGTCAGGTGTGTGACTTTGGGAGTTTGTTGAGTTCTTGCTGTGAAAGACTTTCGGTCCTGCTGTATGACTTTAATTGTCTCATGTCAGCCGCTTCACCTTGTCACTTATCAAGCAGCACCAGCGGGAGTTAAAATGACCTCTGTGACCCACTAGAGACGCAACGACTGCATATTATAAAGGATATTACAAACCAGCGCTGCTTTACTGTATTATTCTACTTATATATTTGGTCTTAAGGCAAGGCACTACAGGTATGCACTGGTCAGTTTTGAGATTTTGAGCTATTTTACTTCCATTAGAAGTAAAGAATAGAAGAAGAAAACATCTGAAATACACATTTAAGTGTTTATTTTATTGCACTTTATCTATTTGCGTCTGTTGATTTCAATTACAGTACATATATTTAAAGAGTTTTATCTCCACTTCAGCAGCACTTATACACACCAAAACTTACAGTTTTATTCCTGTCTATATTCTGAAGGATTTTACTGAAGGGTTTGTTCATATAATATTCAGACTGATTTTATTATTACACTTTATCTATTTGCGTCTGTTGATTTCAATTGCAATACATACAGTATCTTTAAAGAGTTTTATCTCCACTTCAGCAACACGTATACACACCAAAACGTACAGTTTTATTTATGTCTATATTCTGAATGTTTTTATAGAGGGGTTTGTTCATATATCATTCGCTGGTTTTATTATTGAACTTTATCTATTTGCATCTGTAGATTTCAATTACAATCTTAAAGGCCATTTTCTCAAAATGAGTTTGTTTCTTGATTTCAGCAGCACTTACATACACCAAAACTTACAGTTTTATTCCTGTCTATATTCTGAAGGATTTTACTGAAGGGTTTGTTCATATAATATTCAGACTGATTTTATTATTACACTTTATCTATTTGCGTCTATTAATTTCAATTACAATACATATTCTTAAAGGGCGTTTTCTTAAAATGAGTTTGTTTCTTCACTTCAGCAGCCCTTACACACACCAAAACTTACAGTTTTATTCCTACCTATATTCTGAAGGATTTTACTGAAGAATTTGTTTGGATCTATCTTCTGTAAATGTATGCAAATTATTGCATATTTTATAAAAAAAAATGCACCATTTGCATATTTAACATCACATTAAAAAAATTGTAATACAAAACAGTTGTCTTAATTTACTGTGATTAATCAGCTGGGGAAAGTATGGTGCTGTTTGGACAAATGTAGTGTCTTGCCTTAAATGAGTAGTTCATTAATCAGTTTTAGGTGAAATGCTCCTTTAAATTGGATTATGGAGGAAGAGTTGTTGTTGAAGATATTTCTGTCATGTCTATCTCTCCATCGTTTCTGTCCTTCTTTTTTCTGCTTTTTCTATCTCTGGCATTTAGTGATATGTTTGTTTTAAATGAGCTAGTAAAGTTAGTACAGTTAGTACTCAAGCCATGTTGTCAGTAATGATGCAATATCAGGTAAAAATTCATTTCAAAGCAACTGAGCATATTATACATTTAATTCCTTTTTGCACTATTTCTCTTTTTTTTCCTTACGTCTAGCAGGATCAGAAGTATGATGTTTCTTTAATGTAGGTCACATTAAGTCAGTACTTGTTAAATATTAAAGGAATGGTTTAGCCAAAAATAAAAACATATTTATGTTATGCACGCACTATATCATCATTAATATGACATGAGCACAAATGTAATAGCAGGTGTAATAGCATCATTAGTTAGTACTCAAGCCATGTTGTCAGTAATGATGCAATATCAGGTAAAAATTCATTTCAAAGCAACTGAGCATATTATACATTTAGTTCCTTTTTGCACTATTTCTCATTTTTTTCCTTACGTCTAGCAGGATCAGAAGTATGCTGTTTCTTTAATGTAGGTCACATTAAGTCAGTACTTGTTAAATATTAAAGGAATGGTTTAGCCAAAAATAAAAACATATTTATGTTATGCACGCACTATATCATTATTAATATGACATGAGCACAAATGTAATAGCAGGTGTAATAGCATCATTACCTGACTGATTTAATAAAGGAAGTGAAACACAGCTGTGTTGAGACTGAAGCACCTGTGCCTTCTAGTGCTGAAGGATGAGATCTGCGTGCATGGTGTATTGATTTTTAAGTGCAATTCAGATCACTTCTTGAATGAAAATTAATATTGAATATTGAGTGATCAAAAATTTGGAGCTCTTTATTTCTGAAAAGCTAGATATATGAGGGGAATATTAAGTGTGTGATCTAGAAAAGTTCTAGAAAAGTCGTGGGAATTAATAAAATCTTATGGAATCTCATGGAAATTTAGAAATTGCTATTTTTAAGTTAAAGTCAAGTAAATTAATTGGTAATAAAAAGTGTAAACCCTTTCAATAACGGAAGAGTTGTTGTTGAAGATATTTCTGTCATGTCTATCTCTCCATCGTTTCTGTCCTTCTTTTTTCTGCTTTTTCTATCTCTGGCATTTAGTGATATGTTTGTTTTAAATGAGCTAGTAAAGTTAGTACAGTTAGTACAGTTAGTACTCAAGCCATGTTGTCAGTAATGATGCAATATCAGGTAAAAATTCATTTCAAAGCAACTGAGCATATTATACATTTAGTTCCTTTTTGCACTATTTCTCATTTTTTTCCTTACGTCTAGCAGGATCAGAAGTATGATGTTTCTTTAATGTAGGTCACATTAAGTCAGTACTTGTTAAATATTAAAGGAATGGTTTAGCCAAAAATAAAAACATATTTATGTTATGCACGCACTATATCATCATTAATATGACATGAGCACAAATGTAATAGCAGGTGTAATAGCATCATTACCTGACTGATTTAATAAAGGAAGTGAAACACAGCTGTGTTGAGACTGAAGCACCTGTGCCTTCTAGTGCTGAAGGATGAGATCTGCGTGCATGGTGTATTGATTTTTAAGTGCAATTCAGATCACTTCTTGAATGAAAATTAATATTGAATATTGAGTGATCAAAAATTTGGAGCTCTTTATTTCTGAAAAGCTAGATATATGAGGGGAATATTAAGTGTGTGATCTAGAAAAGTTCTAGAAAAGTCGTGGGAATTAATAAAATCTTATGGAATCTCATGGAAATTTAGAAATTGCTATTTTTAAGTTAAAGTCAAGTAAATTAATTGGTAATAAAAAGTGTAAACCCTTTCAATAACATTCAGTTATTGAAAAGAAGGTTATAATAGTCAGCTAAAACTGAAACCATTTTTTTTTACTTGAAATCAAACGAACATTAACTGATACATTAAAATGTATTTTATAAAAAATACTTATTTATAATAATATTAAAAAATACCAATTTTATTTCAGCTAGTTGCCAAAGCAACATTTCTCATTTTCATTTAGTTTAATTGATTAAAAAATAATAATAATAAAAAACCAAAACCCAAATAAAAATGAATAAAAACTATATAGACATACAAAATGTGAAAAACACAACAAAATTAACAAAAATTTAAATGGAAAATTATAATTTCTCAATTATACCAAAATAACACAAATTTAAACTTCTGGAATTTAATTATTTTAATTATTTATTTGAATTTTTGTAATATATTACCACTCCTAGTTTCTGTAAATACAAAATGAGAAACTTTATCATTACAACAGAAGTAGCAGAAATATCATGATTGGCCTTCAAATATCGTCTTTGACCGCTGATCTGGAGACTTCTGCTTAAATGCTTGAAATTGGTTTTGTAGACTAATAAAAGCTTTATTTATAACATATGATGTTTAAGGTTTTTGAGTCATATATATATATATATATATAATTTATAGATTTTCCATTTGCAGTAATTCATAGTTATCATAGTTTTCATGTTGCTATTTTAAAATCTTATAAATATAGTCATAATAAAGAATGAGTAGACGTGTCCAAACCTTTGACCATTAGTGTACATCTTTCTATACATTTGCTTTGTGTTCAGTGCCTTACAGTTGTTTCAACAGTCATCATTATACCATCATCCAGGTGATTGACGTCAAGGAGAAGCTGAAGAAGTTCAGGAAGTTCTGGACGTCACTTCCTGAGGCCTTCTGTCAGGAGGAACATGTGGCGGCTGCAGAAAGCGCAGAGGACGACTGCTGGAATGGTCGTGAAAAGAGCAGGTAAAACATCTCGAATCAAGCATCTGTACAGCTGTGGGTGTGTGGATTCACTGCTCAATAGATCAGGACAGTTTTACATATGTGACCCTGGACCACAAACCAGTCATAAGGGTCCATTTTTCAAAATAGAGATTTATACATCATATGAAAGCTGAATAAATAAGCTAGGACAATATTTGGCCGAGATACAACTATTTGAAAATCTGGAATCTGAGGGTACAAAAAAAATCTAAATATTGAGAAAATCGCCTTTAAAGTTGTCCAAATGAAGTTCTTTGCAATGCATATTACTAATCAAAAATGAAGTTTTGATATATTTAGGGAACATGATCTTTACTTATCCTAATGATTTTTGGCATAAAAGAAAAATCAATAATTTTGACCCATACAATGCATTTTTATTGCTACAAATATACCCCAGCAACTTAAGACTGCTTTTGTGCTCCAGGGTCACAAATGATCTCCTTATTTGTTTGTTTTGTAAAAGAGCTTATTGTACTGTGAAACATACTGTAACTTTCTGAACCCCCCAAAAAAGACCATCTATTGAAACTTAATGACTCGCTCCAAACTTTAAAAAAAAATTCTTATTATTGAATATTATTATATGACCCGTTTAACTAGTTGGAGTGCTGAAATTTGTTTTCCATTATTGGATACCGTTCTCATGGGGAGACACTTGTGAGACCAAATTTGTGAATATTATATTCTATAAGTGTTATAAAATGTAATAAGTACTGTATTATTACAATGTTTTTGTTTGTTTTATTCTGTAAACTACTAATGTTATAAATAATATTAATATTATGTAATATAAATTTAAAGCATTTTTGACAATTGGTCAAAATAAAAATTAAAAACGATGCCATGTTTATATATATATATGTCTGTGTGTGTGTGTGTGTGTGTGTGTGTGTGTGTGTTATATTACTAATATAGTTGAAGCACTAGAATTACTAACTGGCAATTCAAAACTTAAACTGAACTAAAACTGAAATTAAAATAAATTAAACCCAAAAAACTGAAAACTAATCAAAATGACAAAAGCACATATTAAAATTAAACAAATTAAAGTGAAAACTGGAAATGCAAAAATAAAATTTAATTCAAAATATAAATGAAAACTATAACAGTATAATGTGTATTTACTGGCCAGACTTAATCTGACATGTTTGTATGTTTATTTATGCTGCACTATATGTGGTTTATTGATAGCCAAAAATGTGCAGTTAGAAAGGAGATTGGGACAAATTTGAATATTATGCATTGAATTTGCACACTTACTAAGTTTTTTTTCCCAGATATGTCCCTGAGGTTCTGAAAGACGGACTGACCAATCAAGCGAATAACCCGGAGGTGGGTGTGGACATTTCCAGACCGGACACTCTGATTCGACAGCAGCTCATGGCTCTCAGGGTGATGACCAACAAACTCAAGAATGCATATGACGGCAATGATATCTACTTTCAGGACTCGAGTAAGTCACGATGTGTTTGGACTAAATCACACAGCCACTACAGACATGATCTGCACTCATTCATCGACTGATTCTGTCGTCTGTTTGATAGTATTCAGCACATAAAGTGCCTTTAGTATGATTTTTTTTTAAACGTAAGAATATATTTTATAAACACTTACTGGATTGAAGCAACTTAAGTTTACTTGATTATCCATACATTGCTTTTTAGAAAAAAAATCACATTAAAATGTAAGTAACAAATAAGACCTTCAGGCTTTTGAGGAATGTTTATTTTTATGGCTCATATAGACTGATATTGTGAGCATATAAAGGAAAAAACAGCTCAGTTTTATTCAGAGACTCAAACTGAGCAAAAATATGCAATTTGGTGCAGATGCTGATATTTATATGGACAAAAAGTGATGCAATTCTGATGCTTGTAATGTAAATCAATGAGATCTTTATAACATTATACCAGATACTTACATACAATGATCTAAATAAAAGTCGTCACTCTGTATCTCCAGTAATCTGTCTCAGTAAAATGAGATTGAAATGATCAGAACATATAATGCAGTGATTGAGAGCTGAAGAAATAAAGGCTCCTCCTCAGATGTGAGATGTTCTGGAGGCTTGTGAAGATCATTCCTCCGCTGAGGAACAGTGAAAGTAAAGCTTCTGGAAACAAACGCTCCTCAAAAGATCCTGAGGATCAGATTTGAGACTCTAAAACATGATTGATGGAGAATCAAGTAAAGCTGAGCTGCTTCAGTCCAGTAAGTGTTCATCTGGAGATATTACTGCAGTTATTCTGACCTTTACTTGAGAAAAATCAGTAAAAATCAGAAGCACGAGCTGAAGGTGGACTTTTGGACAATTATACTAAAAGTCTAAAAGAGTATAAATCAGACAACAGAAGGCATGTAGTAGATTGTGAACAACAGGTTTAACATCAAAGATTGGATCATGTTGATCATTTAGAGGCCTAATTTTGAAAAATCAGATATGATGATACAGTAGGCTTTCACTGCTGTTTCCAGAGGGCATTATTAGTCTTGCATAATCAAACTTCTGACTTTTGGCATAAAATCTGGTCCAAAGTAGTTTTATTAAGTCAGATCTGGAAATGCATCTCTGCTCGCTGCATAAGCGGACTTTTTGCCTCTCAGATGACGAGAGCAGCGGTTCTGGCAGCGGCAGCGGCTTCACTGAGACGAGCGTCACTGAATCAGACTCCTTCATCACTGACGCTCCCGTTCAGGAAGCAGAGAAAACAGATGAATCATCTCCTGCTTCCATCATCCAGCCCAACCTACTGCTGCTGCTGGTCTTCACCGCGCTGGCCTTGAAAGAGCACTGGAGATAGTGACCGCTGAGCTCCACACAGACTGCTTGTGTTTTATATCAGACTGGACCACTGATCTCAGCCGTCTGAAGACTTTTGAGGCCATTCTTCCTGATTCAAAGATCACAGAGCGGCAGGTTTTGCATGATGGAAGATCTTCAAAAGGGTCGTAAGCATTTCAGTATAGTAGATTAAAGAAGTAGTTCAGCCAGAAATGAAAATGTGCTGAAACAAAGATTTAGGTGAGTTTGTTTCTTCATCAGATTTGTAGAAATGTAGCATTGCATCACTTGCTCACCATTGGAGTGAATGGGTGCTGTCAGAACGAGAGTCCAAACAGCTGATAAAAACATCACAATAATCCACACCACTCCAGTCCATCAGTTAACATCTGGAGAAGACAAAAGTTGAAACAAATCGTTAAGACGCCTTTAACTTTAAACCATCTCTTCTGGCTAAAATATGAAGCCATAATCCATAATAACACTTCCTCCAGTGTTTATGTATTTAATCCAATTTTATTAACCAGTGTCTTTGCTGCTGAGCTTCAATTATCCAATTTAACCATACTAATAAGCAAAAATGACTTTAGATAAACATAACATTTGTGTTCCGGAAGAGTGTTAAACTTTCTTCTCATGCGTCCTAATCTTTGTGCAATCCAGAATGGTTTGAGCTGCGCCCTCTACTGTACAGATGTGCATTTACATTTCCTTCAGCCTGAGGCTCATTCATTTCACTTTTGGTTTGAAAGGGCTTTTACTTTTGCCAAAAATAGAACTTTTTATATTAAAAACAAACTTGCAAGCCCAGCCCAGATTAAAAAAGCAATGCAAAAGTAATGTAACACATTACTTTCTACAAAAAGTAACTAAGTAACACAATTCGTTTTTTAGGGAGTAATGCAATATTGTAGTGCATTACTTTTGAAAGTAACTTTCCCCAACAACATCACAATAATCCACACCACTCCAGTCCATCAGTTAACATCTGGAGAAGACAAAAGTTGAAACAAATCGTTAAGACGCCTTTAACTTTAAACCATCTCTTCTGGCTAAAATATGAAGCCATAATCCATAATAACACTTCCTCCAGTGTTTATGTATTTAATCCAATTTTATTAACCAGTGTCTTTGCTGCTGAGCTTCAATTATCCAATTTAACCATACTAATAAGCAAAAATGACTTTAGATAAACATAACATTTGTGTTCCGGAAGAGTGTTAAACTTTCTTCTCATGCGTCCTAATCTTTGTGCAATCCAGAATGGTTTGAGCTGCGCCCTCTACTGTACAGATGTGCATTTACATTTCCTTCAGCCTGAGGCTCATTCATTTCACTTTTGGTTTGAAAGGGCTTTTACTTTTGCCAAAAATAGAACTTTTTATATTAAAAACAAACTTGCAAGCCCAGCCCAGATTAAAAAAGCAATGCAAAAGTAATGTAACACATTACTTTCTACAAAAAGTAACTAAGTAACACAATTCGTTTTTTAGGGAGTAATGCAATATTGTAGTGCATTACTTTTGAAAGTAACTTTCCCCAACACTGGACTTAATGATTGATTTGTTTTTTACAAGCATGCAGTTTTTATCTTCTCCAGATGTTAACTGATGGACTGGAGTGCTGTGGATTACTTGTGGATTATTGTGATGTTTTTATCAGCTGTTTGGACTCTCATTCTGACGGCACCCATTCACTGCAGAGCATCCATTGCTGAGACACTGATGCAATGCTACATTTCTCCAAATCTGATGAATAAACAAACTCATCTACATCTTGGATGGCCTGAGGGGGAGTAAATCTTTAGAAAATTTAAATTTTGGGGTGAAGTACTCCTTTAAAGGCATAGTTCACCCAAAATGATTTACTTACCCTCATGCAAATGTGTATGCTCTTATTTGGAGATTGACTGTTAATGTAAAAGAAATAATGCATACAGATTCTTTAAAATGTTATATTTGTGTGTCCGCTGATAAAAATGTCATCATACAGGGAGAGTAAATAACGCCAGAACTGTGTGAACTATCCCTTTAACTGCAACACATGTATCCTTTATATTTTGCAGATTATTAAGTTCTTCTTATGTATTCTTCTCACACACATTTTGAAAATGTTCATGCTTTCTTGAAAATTGAAGAGAATATCTAGACTAATTTAAAAAGATTATCTGAACAGGATCTGAGAAATTAGGGAAAATAAATTAATCTGCATCACATTTAGTTCTCATGCACATAATATATCATTCTTGCATATAATATTAACACGTTAGTACTGCGATCATTTATGCAACACTAGCAAGTCTTCATATAATTGATTAAATCTGGTTGAACACACACTACCGTTCAAATGTTTGGGGTCAGTATGTTTTTTTTTAAATAAATTAATACTTTTATTCAGAAAGGATGCATTAAATTGATCAAAAGTGACAGTAAAGACATTTATAATGTTACAAATAAATGCTGTTCTTTTGAACTTTCTGTTCATCTGTGAATCCTGAAAAATAAAATGTATCACAGTTTCCACAAAAATATTGTGCAGCACAACTGTTTTCAACATTGCTAATAATCTATTTCACATTTTTACTGTATTTTGATCAAATAAATGCAGCCTTGTTGAGCAGAAGAGACTTCTTTCAAAAGCATATTAGCGCTATTGAAATGTGATTCCCCTTGTTCTGTTGGTGAAATCTTAAGCGAGTTTTCATCCCTTCAAAGAGTTTCAGATTTTGTGCCCTGTGTAATATATAAGAAATCATTTGCACAGTTAGTTTTTAATTTGCACAAGTGCTTAAGCAGTTTGTGGGAATATTTTTTGTGTATATGTAGAAGATGGATGATTGTAAACAATAATACCATTCCATGGAAAGAAATATAGACTTGTGATACTGTACATGTATGTTTTTAATCATGTTTTCTACCTAAATGACCTGGATGGTAGTGTTTTGCGATAAATCCCTTATAAAACAGCTTCATGAAAGTCCATATTGAATCTGTCAGTGGAGGATTAAGGCTGACTGATTTATTATGAGTGCTATTTTTATATTTAGAAGATTTTAGTGTTACTTATTTCCAGCTAGTTTTCCGTTGCAACTCCTGCTATGCTTTTTTTTTTCTTTGCACTTTTCAGTATTAGTCTTATTAATATGTACACTTATGGTGCAAAAATCCTATTCTTAATCAGAATTTTTGCAACAAAATATATATTCTTTAATCAAGAGTATTTAATTGAGACGCAAGATTGTTTTCAGAGAATGTACCTTGAGATGTTTGCTTTTCTTACCCCATTTACAAATAGTTTCTTTTTTAAAAAGCATATAGCTCACAAAATTTAGTTAGATTTAATGGTTTAAAAAAGTAATTTACTTTATCTTATTTTTTGAAAACATGTCTTTGTTATCAATCCGTTGTGAAAATCTTGATTAAAGAGTATTTAGATTTTTTACTATATATATATATATACACACACAATACTGTTTAAGAGAGTGTTTTTTTTTTAGCACTTTTTACATTTTTATAGTGCTTCATGAGATCATTTTAGCTTTTAGCCCAGATTTTTTTTAAGAATGTAATGTAATGCACTTTGATATTTAGATGTGCAATGATCTTTGTTTTTATTATATATATATATATATATATATATATCTCAAACAAACAAACAAATAAATAAATGCTGTAGCCTTGGTGGGCAGAAGAGACTTATACATATGATTAGTATTATTTTTATTTATTTATTTTTTGTTAAAAAATTATTCAAAAGATTTATGAGGTTAAAATAAGACTCTTATGGCCACCAAGGCTGCATTTATTTTAAAACTAATATTGAGAAATTAATTCAGTCCGGTCTTTAGTTTCACATGATCCTTCAGAAATGCATTTGAATATGCTGATTGGCTGCCCAATAAACATTTATTTTTTATTATCAATTTCTCTTTAAATTGAGAATGTGATTTTCTAGAATCTGTGGTGTGAGTGTTTAACATGTTTGACAGAGTTCAGGAGTTTATTTACATTTCCAGGAATAATTTGCCCTAAAAACCAATATTTACTATGTCATTTCATCTCATATTTTTTTCTTTCAGAACAGACTGAAATTCAAGTTTTTCTTCATTGTTAATCTTCTCTGCCGCAACTCTCAAATCCCATTGTTTTCAATGATCGGTCACATGAATGAGATTTATGAGCTCCAATGGGCAGAAAGATATTTAACAGCCGATTTTAATCTCTTCTTTACATAAAGCATCATATGACTTCAGAAGACTTGAGCACGAGTCATATGTCACATTTTATTTTGGGGTGAACTGTTCCTTTAAAACTAATGGCACAGACATTTGACTTTTACCATAGCATAGGAAAAATGTATTTGTAATGTAGAAATACGAAAATTATGTTTACAGTAAATGATTAAACTTTTATTAAGAACATGTACACATAACAGACAAAAATGAGGCCAATATTTTCACTTTTTTATTATTAATCAAAGACATACGCTACTGTTCAAAAGTTTAGGGTCAGTAAGATTTTCTTGAATGCTCAGCAAGGCTGCATTTATTTGCTCAAAAATACTGTACAAAATTGTGAAATATTATTACAATTTAAAATAACTGTTTGCTCTGTGAATACATTTTAAACTGTAATTTATTTCTGTGATGCGCAGCTGTATTTTCAGCATGATTCCTCCAGTCTTCAGTGTCACGTGATCTTCAGAACTTATTCTAATGTGCTGATTTGCTGCTCAAGAAATATTTCTCATTGATGTTGAAAACAACTTTGAAATGCGTTTATTTGAAATAGAAATCTTTAGTAACATTATAAATGTCTTTACTGTCACTTTTCATCAATGTAATGCAATGCATTTAATGATGAATAAAAGTATTAATGTCTTTTTTTTTTTTAATCTTACTAAGCCCAAACTTTTTAACTGTATTGTATTTAAACAATATGTGCTTTTCATTTGCATGTTCAAGTGCTTTCTATTCATTTAATGGTGGCTGATACAATTCAGCAGACCCGTTGAATCATTGCTTCTCTCTAACCATCAAAAGAGTTTGTGATTTACTGCATTTTTCAATCATCTTCATTTATTTTGCTCTGCATGCACTGGATTTGTTCCAAAATCTCATGAACTGCCTCGCTGGCCTGCATTTCAGGGCATGAGGGTTTGGGACAGAGCCGCTGATGTCTCTAACGTGTGGATGTGAATTACGCTTCCTCTGTGTATTTAGTGGTGGTGAACTCTGCATTCAGGAGAGGCTCGAACTCGCGTTTTTTCCTCTGTTGCACGTATAGCACCGACAGGAGCAGCAGCAGGAGCAGCCCGAGGAATATTCCTCCCAGTGTGCTGCCCAGCAGAAACATGGCCGGTCTGTTGTCTGTTTCTGGGAAAACACACACACACACACACATATGCATACTGAAAGATCACCTACCGAACATGTGCATCATTCCACCTCGTGGAAACCCATATGGTGTTATATTTATGTGGAACACAGAATTTTTGACTACATATGGAAGTCTGTTTCCACAACGGAATAATAATAAAAAAATAAGATAATCTCACAATTCAGAGTTCTTTTCTTGCAATTGCAATATAAACTCAGAATTGTGAGATAAAAACTCATAATTGCGAGATATAGATGCAGAATTTAGAAAAATGTTCCTTAATTTCATTTAATTTCAATTGCCAGACAAATAATTGCAGAATTTAATTAGTTCTCGCAATGTCCATGTTAACATTTTACTAATTGTTTTTCCCCCCACCATGAAATATAAAAGCTAACTTGGAATTTTTGGTAATGCAATGCATTTAATGATGAATAAAAGTATTAATGTCTTTTTTTTTTTAAATCTTACTAAGCCCAAACTTTTTAACTGTATTGTATTTAAATAATATGTGCTTTTCATTTGCATGTTCAAGTGCTTTCTATTCATTTAATGGTGGCTGATACAATTCAGCAGACCCGTTGAATCATTGCTTCTCTCTAACCATCAAAAGAGTTTGTGATTTACTGCATTTTTCAATCATCTTCATTTATTTTGCTCTGCATGCACTGGATTTGTTCCAAAATCTCATGAACTGCCTCGCTGGCCTGCATTTCAGGGCATGAGGGTTTGGGACAGAGCCGCTGATGTCTCTAACGTGTGGATGTGAATTACGCTTCCTCTGTGTATTTAGTGGTGGTGAACTCTGCATTCAGGAGAGGCTCGAACTCGCGTTTTTTCCTCTGTTGCACGTATAGCACCGACAGGAGCAGCAGCAGGAGCAGCCCGAGGAATATTCCTCCCAGTGTGCTGCCCAGCAGAAACATGGCCGGTCTGTTGTCTGTTTCTGGGAAAACACACACACACACACACATATGCATACTGAAAGATCACCTACCGAACATGTGCATCATTCCACCTCGTGGAAACCCATATGGTGTTATATTTATGTGGAACACAGAATTTTTGACTACATATGGAAGTCTGTTTCCACAACGGAATAATAATAAAAAAATAAGATAATCTCACAATTCAGAGTTCTTTTCTTGCAATTGCAATATAAACTCAGAATTGTGAGATAAAAACTCATAATTGCGAGATATAGATGCAGAATTTAGAAAAATGTTCCTTAATTTCATTTAATTTCAATTGCCAGACAAATAATTGCAGAATTTAATATAGTTCTCGCAATGTCCATGTTAACATTTTACTAATTGTTTTTCCCCCCACCATGAAATATAAAAGCTAACTTGGAATTTTTGACTTTTTTTCTCAGAATTACGAGTTTATATCTCAAAATTCTGAGTTACAATTGTTTTTTTCTTTTTTCTTTTTTTACACACAATTATGAGAAAAAAGTCTGAATCGTGAGATGAAAAAGTTGCAATTACCTTAAATTATTTATTTATTATTTTTATCTCGTGGCAGGAACTTGCATAGCATTATTGCATAATACGGATCGATCTGTTCCGAATAATATTTGAAAACCACGTTTTCGGCTCTTCGTCCACAATAGCGTATTGAAGCGTTTTCCAAAATTCATAAACCATCATTCTTATACTAATAACGTGAAAACTTTATTGTCTAGTCTCTGTCGCATTTTGAAAGGAAAACGCAGTTTTCAAATGTATCCGGATTAATTTATCTTAATTTATTAATAATTAATTTATCTATGCACCTGTTTTTACACAGTGATCAAGGTTGCCAGGTTTTCACAAAACCCGCCAAATTACTTTTCGAGGGGATTCCCCATTTTTTTAAAAAAATCGCTTTCTGGGGGGTTCCCCTGGTAAAATTCGCATTCCA